CTCTCTCTCTCTCTCTTAATCCTCCCCCACGTATTCTAAACATTTGTCATCATCATCATCATCATCGTCGTGATATATCCGGATAAAACGTTTTAGAATAAAATAGGTTTTATTTTGAGATTAGGTTCGATTGTGGTTTTCTATTATTTATTTTCCCCCTCCCTCTCTCCTCCCCACCTTTTCCTATCATTTCTCATATGTAATTCAACCGAACAAACAAGTCAAACAAACGCAATACAAACAAACAATTGGTAAAAAGTTAGTCTTATTGTAAAATTTAATTGATTTTTAAATTGTTAACATTTTCAACAAAAAAGCAAACATCTGCACTATTGAAATTTAAGATTAAAACTAAGTACTTGATATTATTATCATTATTATTATTATTATTACGTAATGAAAAAATAATTTTCTTTTTTTTTCAAATAGAATTTTCTAAAAAGAAAAAAAAACAGCCACAAATTCATTCGAACCTTCGTATAACAAAAAAAAAGCCGTGTGAGAAGAATATACAATAATAAAAAAAACCGTTTCAAGGTTTTGTTTTATTTTTATTACTCTCCCTCCTCTCGAAAATCATTACCACCACCACCGCCACCACCATCACCACAATCACCACCACCGGCATCGCCATTACCGCCATCGTCATCACCGCCATCAGCACAACCACCACCACCGCCATCGTCATCACCGCCATCGTCACCATCATCACCACCGCCATCGCCATCACCGCCATCGTCATCGCCTCCACCACCGCCATCGAGCCATCCAATTGGGATAGTAAAAATCTCATAACAATATCACCATCATCATTATTAATAATATTTTGCTCACGAAAGCAACAAACTCCGATATGTTTTCTTCTACCGCGTTATATTATTACACCGTCTCTCTCTCTCTCTCTCTCTCTCTCACTTTGTATCCTTTTACCACTCCCAATTAATATCGAAAAAACGACCACACGTCTTTTACAACGATTAAAGCAATTTTTTTTTTTTAAAATAAATTTTAAATTTCCCGCCTTTTTTTAAAGCTCGATTTTTTTTTAAAAAAAAAAAAACGATTTATTAATAACTCTGGTCAATAATTATGTTATCAAATAAATAATATTTTATTGATGTTCGACCGCACGCCTACGTACCCGAGGTGTTATACATAAATTTTTTTTTTTCTTCTGCTTACCGCTCTTTCAGGTGTTTCTCTAACACATTTTTCACCTTTTTTTCTTCTCCTCCTCCCTCTCCCTTCTCCTCCTCTTCCAATAACAATAATTCTAATCTCTTTGAAGAAGAAGGAGAAAAAATTACTACAAATCGGATGTGACGTCACAAATTCTATTTTAAATCACGCAACTTACTTAATTTAATTTTCCACTCTCCTTTTTTTTTGCAAACAATAAAAAAAAAAAAAAGGACGTGACAGAAAGAAGATTCGTTTTTCATTCTATGGATTATATATATATATATAAATAA